AACAGAACAGAGAACGAAATACAAAGAAGAAATGACAGCGAATTGTTTTTCTTTTTAAGAACAAATGGCACCGAACAACTGATGCTAATGAAATTTAAAAAACTTTCAAGTCCAACACACATTTTCCCCCCACTTGTTCAGCCTATAGCGCCGAATCTGGACTTGTGTTTGAGAAAAGGACGTGCATTGATCAATTTCCAATGTGAGGAGAATATCCTACCTTTTCCAGAACTTTTCCAGATTTCATAGTTCTCTAGATCACGAGGAGCACATTTTACCCAAAAAGGGACGACAGAAGAAAATTAAAAAAGAAAATCCCAGCAACAACACAATATCAAAGTTAGGAAAGAGCAGTTGATGATTTAAATAGTGAGGTAATGAAGTACAAAACTGCTATAAACATATTTAACCACATAGTGACGTACACTGAACGTATCTCACTGCGTTGAGGACGAGATACAATTACCAGAAAAATATGTCAAACACAGTGCATCCTTCGATCAAGACCATGTTGCTAATCGTTAATTTACGTTTTGGTCCTGGGATCAGAGATGCAAACGGAACGGACGCCCGTTCCCAGTCCGGTCAGGTTGAGACTTATCAATCGGCCGGTTCCGGTCAAACTACTGGACCGAACCCGATCGAGTTGGACCGCGCCCGGTTGACTTGGCTTATAACTAGAACATACGACAGAAAATAGCATGTTTATATTGAACAGAAAGCAAAAAACACCGGTCGCTTACCGGTCAAAGTTTTAAAAAAATAGCCTGATTTAAACGTGAAATTATGTTCATTTCGCCCATAGTTTGAAAATAAGTTTTTCATTCGTTAGTGAGTTGGTTGAAGAACCTCGAGACCTCGAACTTGAACAGCAGACTTTGTTTTACAATCTAATCTACGATGACGTACAACCGCAGAAACTTGCAGCTCTCTACCTGTTATTTTCTGATGCAAATTTCACGGTGTAGAGCCCTAAAATATACTATATCCTAGATACATCATTACTAACAATCATATTCAAGTCTAATTTACAGTTGAAGCCACAGAAGGTTACTTGAAAAATATTTCTCTGCTGCAAAACAACTCTACATAGATAGTCTTTAACAACCGCTAGTAAGGTAGAACAAGCAAGAATGTTTGTTCAAGTTTAGTATGTCGCAATGTTTTTCACACAAGCCGCTTATGGTTTTATTGTTACATTTGCCAGAGAAGGACTGGAGCCTTCCCCTTTGAGCCAGTAGGTCACATTGTACGTTGCTCCTATTATCACATTAAACGTTTGACTTAGGAAATCGGCGGCACCCGTTGCTCCATCACAATAATAATACGTTCCAGTATGACTGGCAGCGTCATTTACGACTCTACCACCAAATGATATTCCATAAGGGTTTTCCAAATCCCATCCTGTGAAGTCATCCGTCTCAAACCCGCCGTTGATGATCAAATCTGTCGTGTTGCCAATCTTATTAACACTAACATCATCGAGCCACCAGTATAAATTATCATTACGAAATGAAAACTCTAAAGTCACAGGTGTGTTAAAGGCCAAATACAAGTAAGAAAAGTAGGTCCATGGTGCTGCACTTTGATTTTCAATAAAGTATAATTGAGTATAACAGACGAGATTTGTGCATAGTGCACACCTTGTACCGTCCCAATAGTAACGTGTCGAATTACAGACACAAGTACTACTGTTAATCGAACAAATTAGTGTTAAATCGCCACGGCATTGAATATCAAGTTGACAAAGTGTATTGCCATAAAATTGATTAACACAGATGGACCCGTTCCAAAACGTATTTATAGGACAAACAAGTCTGGCTCCTACGCAGACCAAATAACGATTTATCGCCGTGGAACACGTCTGATTATAATTAAGAAATAGTGCCGATTCGTAGATAAAACCACCGACGAATGAGCTTTGTGATAAAGACGAGGAAGCGACCACTGAACCTGTCGTGATATGACCTTCGTATAAACTACAGCTTAATGACAACAAATTAACGCCAAATGTGCGACATTGTACATTTTGATTACAGTAAGCAGAACAATGGATAACTGACTTGGTATTAGAAATTGAGCCCAGCAGTTCAATTGGATTGGATGGTTGAAATGTGGTCCCAACTGCAGTCAATTTGACATTCGCTCGATAATTCTGACATAGCGCCAATCCAGCAATATTCAATATGATGGGAAAAAACATTGGTTTCTCTGAAAAATTCGATTTTGAAACTAAATGAATTTTCTTTTGATGCTTTCTTGTATGTTTAATATTTTTGAATATAAAGTGGATGATTGACGTGACACTATGAACAAGAGTTTATTATCTTTTTCTCTTGCTCAAAACTAGGATGTTTTAAAAGAAAAAGGAAAATCAAGTGCTTCTGAAAATTCACTTGTGTTCTAACACTCTTTTTCCCTCTTACATAGAGTGCAATTTGTCCTTAACCTTAGTGAATGTATCTGAGCATAGATACCCGACTACGTATCCTGCTACAGTAATGTCATAAGTGCTTACACGTAAAATATTACTTGGCGGGTACCTAAACGGTCAGCCATATTAGGTGACCATGTGAAGATAAAAACGCACACATCCCTATTGTCAATAGACGCCTGTGGGACCAAACATTTTGGGTTCCGATCCCGTAAATATTTTTTTAAAGTTTCGCGGGATCGGGATGGGATGATCCCACGGATTTCTAATGGTCAAGCACATTCACCAGGGAATACAATGGAAATTTAATTTTGTGTAGTGGATTTTATATTAAAAAAAGTGAATGAACGATAATAAGGAATGATCTTTATTTTTCGTTATGTGGTATTTTTCCTCCTATTCCAGAATCAGATCACTGCTCACTTTAATCGCTGAAAACAAGTGAGCTATTAGCGATAAATGATGTTAATGATAATTAACTATCATATCAACATTACAAATATCAAGATCATTCTGACCTTAAAAAGTATTTTATTATTTTTTACCAAGATAGTTGGTTTCTTCGAGAAAACGATCAGTGATATGATTCTTAGTTAACAACGTGTGTATGGATAATATCGCAGCTGCATTCTTCCCCCTATATTTTTGTTTACTATTAAATAATTTATTAACAGATAATGAATGAGTGTTGACGGTATTGTTATCAGTAAATTTTTCCGAAAGACGATGTGAAACTTTGTAATGTCCCTTAAGGAGTTGATGTTTCTGCCTCTGCACGAAATAAACACTGCAAGATAACAGTCGTTACATTAGACCGTTTACTGTTACACAACGACATTGTATAACAGTTATTATTCTACTTAAGCATTTACTTTTAACTCGTTGAAGAAATCGTGACCGAAAATAGATAGCAACAGTACTGTATATACAATGCATACTGCATATATTTGGTCAACAAATATACTCATTATAGTTTATACCGAATATGTTCCGCAAATTGTTCTCTGACATTTTTCATCTGTATCATCGTGTATCTAACGAAGAAACACCGCCAGACGATACTCTCTATTATGAATAATTCATATGGCGATCGATAGAGAATAGTGAGCTAGTAAAAATGCTAAAAGAATTTCAACCCATGACAGTTACTACGAAACGATGAATTTGAGAAAACAACAAATTTGAAATTATCAAAATTTTCCTTTATTTAGAGAAAAGTAGATGATTCATAATTAGTGGAAATAAACAGAAGAATAAACTGAAAGAAATAGAATAAATTTGTTACTTATTATTGATATTTTCTAGATTTGGTTTCGTCCGAAACGAATTAAATTGTTTTCCAGTAGACTTATCCGTCAATGTTTAAAGAAAATCACCGCATAAAAAAGTTCTATTTCTGGTGAACGTTAGTACATCTTTAGTTTTGTGCTATTGAAACTTTCAAATAAAATGTTTCATATATAAACATATTCTATACGATCTTATAACGTTATAAGATGGTGGTTAGCCGTCTAAGACACATGGATCTGGCAGATGAAGCCAGGCAATTTTTATAGCAAAGTTCATCTGTTTGGGCTCACTTTATATGAGCATGTAGCTCTTCGTTAGAAGAATGTTTTTTGTTACAGGATCATATGATGATTTTTTACTTCTAGTGGCAATTACAGCTTTTTGTCTGACGATAGATTATAACGCCATGTATTTGAATGGGCCTGCCATAAGTAGGAACAAAACGTAGCTTAATTGCCATATTTGAGAACAGTTCCTGTTTATGGCAGGTCATTTTGCTGTGAAGCGTAGATAAAGGTAAAAATTGACATATTTCCAATAAAGTTAGTGCCATTCGATTCCTCGCGATCAGAGGAACATATCTATATAATTTGCTTTTATAAAATTTCAACTTTGTCAGTCAGAAAACCTTTGTCTTCGAGGGTGAAGAAAACGCCGTGTGTTTGAATGGTGTTTCTTTCAAAACTGTTCATTGTTCTTTTAACATGCATGACACATGTCTTTTTTCTTCCCTCTCTCTCATATAAATTTTTCGTTCTGTTTCTTTTTTCTCTACTTGCAAGGAAAGAACACCAACTGTCTAATCGCTTTTAGACAAAGACTCACTGGACAATAGGTAATAAGGTATGCTGAATCCGAATATGACAATGGTTTTTGCTGCTAGGCCAGAAAGCCAGAGTTTAAGGTTGAAAAATTTTTTGCGGCCAAAATCTTTTTTGATGCGTTCAAATGCAAGAGCACATCGAAAAACCTATGAGAAACTACTTTTCAGACTTTTTCTAGAAAACTCAGTCTTCCAAGGCCTAGCAGCAAAAACCATTGTCATATTCGGATTCAGCACACCTAACTATCTATTGTCCAGTGAGTCTTTGCCTAAAAGCGATCAGACAGTTGGTGTCCTTTCCTCTTTAGAGCGACAGAGTGAGTATTCCTAATTTGAACGGAAAAACGCATGATGCAGTTTATCCTTTATTTTATAGTGATTGAGTGAGAGTTTAACAAACTTTCTACACTTTTGAGTAGAGCAAAGTCTCCTGAATCGAATGGTGAAAGAATTTTTAAAACGGACTTAATTGAGTGAGTTATGCTCGGGAATGTGAGCAGTGTTGCGATCATTCACATTAGGGACCCAGTTCCTAATCTGAACGGCAAGAGCAAAAATATTCCTAATGTGAACGGCCGTTATAGGGCACATAACGGATATTTTGTGACTTACGAACGTCCACCGTAATCATTTTATCCTTCTTTCTTTTTCTTAGATGACTTCATCTAATCAAAAATACTTCAGAAGTGATCTGGAAATGCTGTGACAGCATATATAAATCAAGAAATGACTTCTGTCGAAGCTTCAAAACGTGCAATAAAACATCCTACTATTGGATTTCCCCAGAAAAATCCCTATTGTAACATCATCATTAACTAGTTATGACTATGATGATGATAAATCACAAAAAGGTATCTCAACGTTGCCATGCGTTCAAATAGTAGGTCCTTCGTCTCAATTAGGCTGTGTTTTACCGTCGGTCCGATTCTTTAAATCTCACTTCTGATTCGGCTACTCAAAAGTTTTCTACTGAGAAAAGCGAAGAAATCTAGACACCGAGAAATGCGTGAAACATTTTTCAGTGGTAAAAGCGAGAAATATTTACCAGTGAGAAAATGGAAGAAACCTAAAAACCTAGAGATCTGTGAAACATTTTCGAATGAGAAAACGCAAGAAAATTTTCTAGTCAGAAGATGGAACAAACCTAAAAGCGTAAAAGCCCAGAGAAATGGGAAACATTTTCCCCTGAGAAAATGCGAGACCAGTTTTCTAGTGAGAAACTGGAAGAAACCTACAAATCAAACAGCCTCGATCACACACTGCACTTCATGCAATTTATTTATGTAATTTCTTTTATTGCAATATTATTTCATTTAATTTAATTACGATCATCAATTGTTATTAAATAATTCTCAATGTGCTCACGCGGCTAGGCCCCCACTTGCTAACCTTTCGTTCCCAGACCACTGACTTCTGATGTTAAACTCTTGCTGCTCACAGGAAAGATAAGAAGACGCAACGTACTCACCTGTCTTGTTAAAACGATGTCACTTGATAATGAATATATTTTAGAAAATAGTAATAAAAACCACAAACAACAGAAGAGTATAAAACGCCGAAGAAGAGATCAAGAATACAATCTAAGATACAATAATAATCACGACTACCTACTGACTACTTTTAACTGCTCCTCTGAATAAAATTGATAATTTTGTTTTGATATGGATAAACATTTGAGAATAAATATGATAGAGTTAACAGCAGCTTCAAATCTTTTTACTAACATTTTGTTAATAGATATAACAATTTATTTTATTACTGTCGACGTTCCGATACATTCAGTATCATTTTCAAGACAAATAACAGCAAAATAATGATTAAAATATGTAAATAAACAAAATCTAATAACGAGATATAGGTATAAAATAACTAATATTTGGGTTAGTGGATTGTTCTATCGAATAGAATTTTGACAGAAACCTCTAACATGTATCTAAAACAGTTGTATAGCGCTATACAACTGCAAATCCGGGCCTAAGGTCTTGCACAAACACGGTCACAAAACTAACAACTAAAATGTTAATACAACCACTGGAGGCAAGCAAATAAACAGTACGCTAGATTTCTAGTTAACTCTGACCTAAACGAGTTATTAAAGAGTGACCGGTTTCATTTTCATTGTTGGTTTTGTTGCTTGGAGCCCTTCAGGATAAACGATGAGAGGAACGGAGGCGATTGTTCGATTAAGGCTTGGGTTTAATTTTTGAATTTGTAATGATTCACGAACGAGAAGACGATATTTGTGTGAATCTTTTGAGACGATTTTCCAACATTCCCAATCAATTCTGTGTTTTGTTTCGAATTCATGTTTTTGGAGCGCTGATTTTATTTTTTTATTTTCAATTGGAATTGTGTTGTTTTCATCTTCTTCTTCTTCCGCGATAGTGTCCTTTGGGAAGTAATCAACTTTATCTGTATTTTTGTTACGATCCGATCGACAAAGGTGTGGTTGACCGGATGCTGTGGTAGGTTGTTGCGAAGATTGTGATGGTTGCTGTTTCGGTGCACCATGTTCATGAAATCTTCTGCAAGCTTGCCGAACTGTTTTGTCTGCAAGCTACTATCACTGTAATTTCAGCTTTAAGAAAATTTCGTTGTGATCATAAAGCAGTGCATAGAGCCCTCTGTCTGAACTCCTCTCTCAGTTTTCTAATTGAAACAGACGATATATTTAAGAGTCACTGCACCAGTGAGACAGCGATAGTTGCTCAATCGATGTTAGAGTTTTGGGCTCAGAATTTCACCGTAGGTAGAGGCAACATGTATAGAAAGATTCTCAAAATATTTTCGTTCAGATTTACTTCGTTAAAAAGTTATAGAGTTTTTGGTAAAAGCCCTAAAAATAGCCTAAAACGATACTTGAATAAAAGTCAAATTTCTGATGTTTATATCTTGGTCTAGGAAGTTGATTAAGAGCTCGTATT